TACGTAGGTGACACACCGTTTCAGGAGCAACTTCATCACGTTGAATGATTTAAAACCCTTAAGAGTATACTGTTTCCAACTCAAGGCAGAACTGTTTTTGGCAAAAGAAAACATCTCTAGACCTGGGCATTTAAGCAACATATCTTGCTCCGAAACAACAGTGGATGGTAATGTATGCTTTCTTAAGTCCTTTCTGAGATGGGAACAGAACACTCCTAAAATAGTGCAATCAGGGATTCCTTATTAGGTGGAGGGTGGTGAGAGTGCGGAGACCCAGAGAGAAGGGGCTAGGACAGCACTTCACTGTAGACATAACAAGCTCGTGCTGAAGTCTCCAGTAGCAAGAGCTGCCAGACAGCTAACACTTGCTTTGTTTTAGGCTTGCCTTTACTAGCTATTAATTAAAGCATACAGGGCTGGGTGGAGGAGGGGCAGTATCCATCCAGTTTACTGGGACTCTATTTATTGCAGTGGTGGCTGAGAACTCTATTTATTGCAGTGGTGGCTGAGAAATTACCCGATGTTTGTATCGTATGTAGGATGGTCATCTTGTTCACTTTTATGTCACCTGTTTAGCCGCTACCAAGCTTCAACAAGTCATCCTGATCTCTGTGGGAACCTTTTTGTTGCTGTCAGTGCTGGTGGGGGCCTGTCTCTTCCTGGTACTGAAATACAGAGGCCTGGTTAAATACTGGTTTCACTCTGCACCAAGCATCCCGTCACAAATAGAAGAGGTATGTGTGTACACATTTAAAAGGGTGACATGTCAGCCTTTCATGCCCCCCTGGTAACGCCTAAGAGTAGAGCAGTGGACAAAGCCATGACACTGAGATTTGTGTTAAAAGCAGCACTTGGTTCTTTGTACACCCATGTTCATAGCAGCATTATTCACAACGGCCAAAAGGTAGAAACAACCCAAGTGTCCATCGACAGATGAATGTATAAATAAAATGTGGTGGGAGTTCCCTGGCAGTCCAGTGGTTACGACTTGGCGCTTTCACTGCTCTGGCCTCGGGTTCAATCCCTGGTCAGGGAACTACGATCCTGCAAGCCACAGGTGCAGCCAGAAAAACAAGAGAGAGATGTGGTGTATACATATGAATGGAATATTACTCAGCCTTAAAAAGGAAGGGAATTCTGAGACATGCTACAACATGGATGAACCTTGAGGACATTATGATAAGGGAAATAAATTAGTCACAAAAAGACAAATACTACATGATTCCACTTATATGAGGTGCTTAGAGTACTCACATTCACAGAACCAGAATGTAGAATAGTGGTTGCCAGGGTCCGGAGGGAGGGAGGAAATGGGCAGTGAGTGTTTAACGGGGACAGTTTCAGTTTTGCAAAATGAAAAATGTTCTAGGGACTTCCCTGGTGGTCCAGTGGTTAAGACTCCACACTCCCAATGCAGGGGGCCCGGGTTCAATCCCTGGTCAGGGAACTAGATCCCACATGCTGCAACTAAGACCCGGCACAGCCAAATAAATAAATAAATTAATTAAAAAGTTCTAGAGACAGATGGTGGTGATCATTGCCCAACAATGTGAATAGACTTTACACTACTGAGCTGTACACTTAAAAATGGTTAAGATGGTAAATTTTATGTTATGTGTATTTTACCACAATTAAAAAAAAATTGGGGGGCAACTTCCCTGGTGGTCCAGTGGCTAAGACTCGGCACTCCCAATGCAGGGGGTCAGGGTTAAATCCCCCGGGTTCAGGGACCTAGATCCCACATGCCGCCACGAAGATCCCACATGCGGCAACTAAGACCCGGCACAGCATTAATTAATTAATTAATTAATTAGTTAAATAAAGTAAAAATTTTTTTTTTAATTTTTTTAATTGGCACGAGGTTGGCCAAAAGGTGGCCTGGTCTGGCCCGGACAGGAGATCGGCCGCAGTAGGTCCCTCTGGAGACAACACGAGAGTCCCGGGCTTTTGGAGCCTGGCTGGAGGGGACATGGACCAGTGGGGACAGCAGTCAAGAGCATGAGCTTTGGGTCAGACAGTGTGCAGGCAGGAGGATTCTAGAGTAAACACCCAGAGCCGTGAGTTCAAAGCCTTGCACGCCGAGTACACAGGGGATGTTACTAGTATTTTAAAGGATTTAAGAAAGAAAAGTGGAGTGGGTAGGTCTTATGGAAAGTCCTGTTTTCCTGCCCAGCTCCAGCAACCCCCTGAGGCTCTGCGAGGGAACCAGGCCCTCTGAGGAGACAGCCGGGACGTTCTTGGGATCAGAAGCTAGCTGATACAAGCATATTTGGAACCATTTGCTTCTGGGGGTTTATCATTCTGCAGTAAGATCAGGGTCAAAGTACTGGAAACAGAACCTTATGTTGTTGTATCTAGTCTGTAAAGACAGAGTGGTGCTTCTAGAAAGAGCTATAGTCACTTGTTTTCCTTCATCTGTCATGAGGTGTTTAAAGTACACAGACGTTATGCGAAGCACATGTTAAATTCCCTACTGGAACCTCCATACAAATGCTGCAGGATTCCACTTCTATCAAGAATCTAAATAGAATAATAGTCAAACTCATAGAAGCAGAGAGTAGCACAGTGGTTACCAGGGGCCAGGCGGCAGGGGGAGCGGGGAGTTGCTTTCAAATGGTATAAAGTTTCAGTTATGCAAGATGAATAAGTTCTGGTTTCTGCTGTACAACATTATGCCTGTAGGTAGTACTGTGTTGTGCACTTAAAACTGTGTGAAGAAGGTAGAACTCATGTTAGATGTTCTTACCACACACACACACACAAAAAAAAAACCTTCCCTGGTTAATACTGTCACAACGTAACAGGTCTCAACTCAGAATTTTACTTGCATCAATAATTTCTGTCTCGGGACTTTCCTGGTGGTCCAGTGGTTAAGGCTCTGAGCTTCCACTGCAGAGGGCACAGGTTCAATCCCTGGACAGGGAACTAAGATCCCGCATTCCACGTGGCACAGGCAAAAAATTTAAAAAACAAACAAATAACTCTGTCTCACAGAACTAGCAGCAGGACCCTAGTAAGTGAATTTAGTACTAGTTGTTCCTTTGGTGCTTGAATCTAAAACATAAAGTGTTTCGGTTCACTTTTCTGAGAAAGTGTGAAAAGTCTATATCAAAGGTCACTGAAGTTACATGAGAATAATGAATCAGGTTTCACTTATATTTTTGAGGTTTCACAAGTGCGCGTGATTCGTGGTTATTCGTCTTCTCATCAGCCAGCTCTAAGCTGACCGTATTTCAGTATCGTTCAGCATTTCCAAGAGCCAGGCAGTTGGTTCTTGGTAACTTGGTAATTGATGGCTAAGCGCAGAGCCAAGGCAGGAGGGCCAGGGCAAGTTAAGGCCTGTGGACCGGCACTTTGCCTTGAGGACCTGCGCTTTCTGGTTCGCCCAGGGCTGCATAGCACAGATCCTCTGCACCCCGTGTGTTGTGTGAAGTAGAACCAACCAGTGGGTGGAGTGGCTGAGAAAAATGCTTGTGAACTTTCCCTCTTTGCCCCCATGGTAGTTGAACAAGAGGCTCCATTTCCTCCTTCCCTGAAAAGTTAGAATTCCAGAGACATTTTAGGATTGATAATCCACAAGCCCTCATCCAGTGCAGCAAGTCAGAACTTGCTTTTCCTGAGTTACGCTGCCCTTTCGTGCTTTCAGAGTATTCCCTGGGTTGGCCCTTGGATTCGTGTGAGTTATTGAGATGGGGGGTGAACAGGGGTCCGGTTTTAGAAGTTACTTCGTTGGTGGACAGAATTGGAAGTTACACCTGAATGAAATAGGATTATGCCAACTAAAGTATGAAGTTCTGGTATTTGGAACTGCTAAACAAATTATGATAATGGTGTTCAACCTTTTCAAGTATTTAAAGGATCCAGCTCAGCCCATCTTAGACGCCTTGGACAAGGACAGCTCGCCAAAGGATGATGCCTGGGACTCTGTGTCCATCGTGTCGTTTCCAGAGAATAAGCAAGAAGACATTCTCCAAAACACTTTGAACCAAAGCACAGATCCAAGCCACCAGCCCATGGAAGGAGGACCCTGAGACAGTGAAGCTGCGGATGTGCCTGTCAGGACTTGATGGAGCCCACGACTCCTTATTCCTGTCATGAAAAGACCCGGGGGTGCCTGGGGAGAGGTCCTGGGTCCCGTGGGAGAGAAAAACTTACTTTTTTTAAACTAAGAACTTCCTAAATCCTACAAGTTTCTAGACCGATTCTACATACCAAAAAAATTAAGGTTTCTCTTAAACACTAAAAAGGCCCATAATTATTTGTTATCAAAATGGCTGTGGCACCCCTCTGATATTTTGTACATTGTGGGTGGGGCCAGGCGGTCAGGAGACGGGGTCCTCTCCTGGCTATGGCAAGGAGCTTGGGCCCCTTGGGCAGGTCACCTAAGCTGTCCCAGCCTCTCCCTGTAACAAGGGACACTGAGTGTCCTGGCTTAAAATGTGATTAATCCTGTAAATAGTTTCCTATTAATTTAAGGGTCATTTTTTTCTTTTCAAGCTAGAAATAAAAGACTGTATAGTTAACTTTTTAAAAGTCTGTGAAGTTTTTCCTCTTCACCTTCTTTATTTTGGTCTATTTTCTGCAAAGTTTCAACTTTTAAAAATGACTATATCTAAATTTTTGTTTTCTTAAATAACACCCAGCAGAGCTACCCAGAGGCCTCATGGTCACGCAGCAAGAAATTTTGACCTGTGTCACTTGATTCCTTGAAAAGTTAGGAAGGGGATTCTCAGAAGCTGCATCAGCGCTGCATTTGTACGTGATATGTCACATGTGTTGAGCAAGGCATGTAAAGAGAATTAGGCAATGGGCAATAGTGATGGCCACTGGGCCTGCAAGTCTTCTGATGATGCAAGTACTGATGGGTTATTTTGTTCAGAGGATATTAATTAAAAGTCCATTTATATGGGGGCTTCCCTGGTGGTCCAGTGGTTAAGACTCCACGCTCCCAATGCAGGGGGGCCTGGGTTCGATCCCTGGTCAGGGAACTTCATCCCACGTGCCGCAACTAAAAGATCCTGCGTGCCACAACTAAGACCCGGCACAGCCAGATAAATAAATAAAAGGAAATATATTCTAAAAAATAAAATCCATATATATGACTCTTAACGTTTAGGAGATGGACGCGTAGCTTCACTCCTCCCCTCCAACACGCACACAAAGTGACATGTTGCCGCAAGGTTGCCTGAGAAAGAAGCCCCTACTGGCAGCCTAACCTTGACAGTGGGAAGAGGCGATGCTGACAGGAGGTACATGAAGCTTCCAGCACCGGTCGATGGAACCACCTTCTGTGTCTCTGTTGGGGCCCTGTGCCTCTGGTGAGGAATTGGCTCTTGGGCTGACTTTCTAACCGATCATTGTGCACCCTTCCATCCAGGGTGACATGAGAGAAAAGGACACCCACCCACCCCAGGCGAGTCCCCTTGTGAGATGTCTATTGATTAGGTGCACCTTGAGTTGGGACAGGTTTGGAGAAAGAGTTAGTAGAGGGAAATGGTAAAGACCTCCCTCAAATCATTTAGGAAATGGAAGATAGAAGAGCTTCCTCTGTTGGGCCACACGAAGCAGCCCAGCGAGGAGAGGAGGACATGTATACAGCAGGAAGAGAACCGGTTAAGAGTTTGAACCTGGCAGAAAGGGGGACAGATCAGCTCTGTTAGGAATAAGCTCTTCTGTGCCACCCTCCATAAAAGGAGGTGCCAGCTAGTCGGGGGCAAGCAGGCTGGCCGTGGGGACCAGATTCTGATAAGGCTGAACTGGGTTCGGGGTGGAATCAGTCCAGTGTCCTGGGGCAGACTGGGGTTCAGGCTCAGAAAGGCCCTTCTTAATTGCAGGCAGCAGCTTCAGTGAGTGACAGACTCAGAGCCCAAGCCCAGGGCCAGCACTATTTCCAGGTGCCACTCAAGGGCCAAACTCTACAAGGTTATTGCTTTATAGGGGAGGGGCTACAGGGGCCAAACTCTACAAGGTCATTGCTTTATAGGGGAGGGGCTACAGGGGCCAAACTCTACAAGGTTACTGCTTTATAGGGGAGGGGCTACACTGACACCCAACTGGGTTCACCAAGCGTCCAACCGTGCTTCTCCTCTCGGGCCCGCGCCATCCTTCCTCAGTAAGCATCCCCAGGGGGCATGGGGCTGGCCTGTTATCCAGCCCCAGGGAGAAAGGACAGGAATTATTTGAGTAAGTAAGATACTCCTTCTTAATAGTATTTTCCAAAAAGAAACACCTGGTTCTACTTTATCAAATAAATGACTAAGCAATGGGATTAATACTTATTCTAACTTGGGACATTAATTTCTAGTCAAGCTAAGTACATAATCATGTTTGAGCTGGAAAAAGTCTATAAATTACCTGTAACAGGGCAAACTGCCGCCCACATGCCAAATCCAGCCTGCTCCCTGTTTTTGTACAGGCTGTAAGCTAAAAATAGTTTTTACATCTTTAAATGGTTGAAAAAATCAAAAGAAGAATAATATTTCATCACACATGAAAAGTATATGAAATTTACATTTGAGTGTCCATAAGTAAACTTTTATTGGGACCCTATGGCTGCTTTTGCACTGCAAGGCAGAATTGAGTAGTTGCAAGAGACTGTTTGCCTACAAAGCCTAAAATATTTACTACCTGAACGCTTACAGAAAGAGTTTGATGACCCCTGATCTGTACAATGCAGTGTTCATTGTATAGGAGAAAACAGACTCACTTCCATTATTTAGGTTTATACAGTTACAGAAGGTCCCTACAAGACCCCATTTGATACCGAGACTGTTTAATTCAAGGTTCATATATTATACGGGAGGAGGGGTATTTGATTCTTGCATGTATTCTATAAAGCACATTATGGACTATGTACCCTGGATACAATTTAGGAGTATGAAGATCAATGGAGGAAAGTAGGCCCTACATCAATAATAGGTCACCCAGAGATGATGGGTGAGTTGGATCAAGGACGCTGCCATTCCATAATGTACCGTTATGTGAATTAGATAAGACACCCATCTTTCAAGACACTTTGATTTGTGCCACGAATTTTCTTTTTAAGTGAACATGCCATCTCCTGCGCCTCAGTGTGAATAGCGCCCCCTGGGGGTTCTGCAGTGCTCAGCTTGCAGATTGCAGACAACTTCAGTGCCCTGGGACAGGAAGCTGCTGGGTGAAGCCCTCTTGTTCTGGATGGTGCCAAGGCCAGCAGGGCGAGGAGCTGAGGGACATGGCGGTGGAGAGGGGAGGCCCCCAGGGGGGAGTTGGAGGAGGGATAGGGTCAGAGAAGGAAGACTGTCTCCATATCTGTAGGTCACTGGCTGGTGTACTGTAACTGGAGAAACTGCTGCTGCCCTCTCACCAGAAACTACCAGCGTGGAGAACGGCACAGGTCCTAGCCCGTGATTGGGGCATCTGCCTTTGTGACTTTTATTTCATTTACCATCACTTATCTCTGTCCATAGTGTTTTTTAGAAGTCTGCATAGTCACAAGTTATGCTGCTTTCAACTACTGGGAAACAACTGTGTATCCCTAAGGTGCCCCAGGGCCCTCCAAAATAACTTTGCTTTATGCCAGAAAGCCTGTATTTTAGGCGAGAACATCCTAAACCGTCCCAACTGTTTGGTGAGAGTTCGAATCCACACAGGCATCTCCCCGTGGAGCAGTCAGACCTCCCACTCCTCAGTGCTCACAGGCTCTCCTAAGAAGCAACAGCTCTCTGATGGGGATACAGTAAAAGTGACCTCTTCCTCCTTGCTTCCAGCTTGTGGTGAGGGAAGATGGCCAGCTGCCTCGGGAGGGCACAGAAGCTGGTCAGAGTGGATACTTGGAGCAGCACTTGGCTCCGGGGAGGGATCTGGTCAGTGCCATTTGCCGACACTCTAGGAAGACTGAGATGCCACCTAAAATTTCAAACCGATAATGAAATACAGGCAGGAGTGGCTTCTCCAGGCCCCCCATTTATTAAAAAAAGGGGAGAGGCAGACCCCCCCCAGGGTTTCTTTACGTACATACCCCTGGTTAAAACATAATCACTTGCAAAAGACATTAACTACTTTTCCCTTGTAATTAAATAGTGCTGTGAATAACAATTTATAATAAATATGAATTGGACTTGTTTCACTTTTGCATTCAAATGAATAGAACTATTTGATATCGTCCCTGTAGATAATAAGTGTACTTTTTGTAGTTGAGAGAATGAGAGAAGGCCTAAGTCCTCCAAGAGCTGATGAGTCCACACAGGACTCTGAGGCCCTTGCCAATGGGCAAGTAAAGGGCCTGGCATAAAATTCAATTAACCAATTAAACCGATATGCTTCTTTACTAGCTCCTTTCTGAAGTGTTGCTGTGAACCTTAGTATGACTGTGTGTAACTCCAGCTACCCCAAACACTTCTCAAGTGGCCAGCCCCATGCTACAACTAAAAGATGAACACAGCACCAATAGTTAGGGCCATGTGTACGTTTGTATAGGTTGTGCACTGCACAACCCCAGGGGTGCCATTTACATACACAGAATACAAATGTATTTGGTTCCTTTGAGATTTAGAATTTCCTCATGAAAAACTGTCAAAATTAATGGTAAGGGGGCTTCCCTGGTGGCGCGGTGGTTGAGAGTCCGCCTGCCGATGCAGGGGACACGGGTTCTGCCCCGGTCCGGGAAGATGCCACATGCCGCGGAGTGGCTGGGCCCGTGAGCCATGGCCGCTGAGCCTGCGCGTCCGGAGCCTGTGCTCCGCAACGGGAGAGGCCACGGCAGTGAGAGGCCCACGTACCGCAAAAAAAAAAAAAAAAAAAAAAATTAATGTTAAGGTTTCCATGCTAACTTGCAAAATCAGTTTTAAAACTTATTACACACCAAAAAGCCACTAGTAGACTTTAGATGGTAACATGAATTTCTTTTTACTCTGTTTTCCAGCGATTTTCTAGAGAATATTCCTTTTCATAATGAAATAATGGGAATTCCCTGGCAGTCCAGTGGTTAGGACTCCGAGCATCCCCTGCAGGGGGCACGGGTTCGATTGCTGGTCGGGGAACTAAGATCTCGCAAGCCATGCAGGGCAGCCAAAATAAATAAATAAAATAAAATTTGATGAAATAATGTCACAAATTTTGTATAAAATGAAAGCTCAGTGCTCTGGTCCAAGAGACACTGGGATGGAAGAGACTGAAAACAGGCAGATTTCAGGATAAGGTTATATACTCCCCCTCCCCCCACATCTGGGTTTTTCTTCAACCAGACAAGAAGCATTTATATATGTAAAGATTATAATTTGTTACACACAAATTGTATATCTCCTCTGTCATATCACAGGGCCACTTTAGTTCAAGTCTACATACTGCTGTTAGTAAAAATTACAACGAACATGTTCTGTTTGACTTATTAATCAGTCTCTCTCCACACAAGGTACTTTAATAATTATAAAGGAGAAAAATAGCTACTTTACAGTGGAGATACCTGGTGGACACCACCTTGGGCATCAAGGCAGGCAAAGTTAAAATCACCAGTACTGGGACAGATGTGTGCTTGCTTTGATGTCCTGAAAACATAAGCTCTGTGTTATTCCTGCCCAAACTGTATAACCAGAATCTACTCCTGATGGGACATCAGACAAACCAAAATTGAGGGGCGTTCTACACAACAGCTGGTCTGCATTCTTCAAAAATACCTAGTCATGGGCTTCCCTGGTGGCACAGTGGCTAAGAATCCACCTGCCAATGCAGGGGACACAGGTTCGAGCCCTGGTCCAGGAAGATCCCACATGCCACAGAGCAACTAAGCCCGTATGCCACAACTACTGAGCCTGTGCTCTAGAGCTCGCAAGCCACAACTACTGAGTCCACGTGCCACAACTACTGAAGCCCGTGCGCCTAGAGCCCGTGCTCCGCAACAAGAGAAGCCACAACAATGAGAAGCCCACACACTGCAACGAAGAGTAGCCCCTGCTCGCCGCAACTAGAGAAAGTCCACAGCAATGAAGACCCAACACAGCCAAAAATAAAAACAAATAAATAAATGTATTTAAAAAAAAAGAAAAAGAAAACCTAGTCATGAATGACAAAGGTTAAAGTTGTCCAAAGTTAAGAGCCACTAAAGGGCCATGACAACTAAATGCAATGTGTGATCATGGACTGGATTCTAGAACTGAAAATAACTTATTTTTCTTTACTATAAATCATACTAGTGGGGCACTTGGCAAAATTTGAATGAAGTGCTTAGTGCTGTATCAACGTTAACTTCCTGATTTTGGTATTGTACAGCAGTTGTGATTTGGGGAAATATACACGGAACTATTCAAGGGTAAAGAGCCATCCTGTCTGCAGCGTATTGTCGAAGGTCTCAGGAAAAAAATAGACTAAAGCAAGTGCGGTAAAATGTCAACCTTTGGGGAATCTAAAGTTTATACAGGAATTCTCTGAGTTATTTTTGTAACTTTCCTGTAAGTCTGAAGTTATTTCAAAATAAAGTTATTCAATCTCTACGTTGATAACTTTCATAACAGGAAGTAAATACACTTAGCCTCATACTGAATCCCTTTTTGTCACCTGGACAAGGTGCTCCTAAATCAAAGATCTGGTGATCTCTGCCCTGACATTATCCACGGGGCTCTAGAAGGCTTGCCCTGCCACACTGACATGTAGAAATTTAAAATATCCTATTTGCTGCAGCTTAAAGAATTGAAGAGGCATATACTATCATCTAAAAACCCTACGTAGCAGTTTGAATCGTGGCGCGACGAAGCCGTAGGCGGCAGGTTCTCGCTGGGTGTCTGACTAGTACTTTCTCTGCCTTGCTTGTTTGAGCTTCAGCAGAATTCGAAATGGCTGGCGGCAAGGCTGGGAAGGACTCCGGAAAGGCCAAGACAAAGGCGGTTTCCCGCTCGCAGAGAGGAAATACGGTGGGCCGTATTCATGGACACCTGAAATCTAGGGCGACCAGCCATGGACGTGTGAGCGCGACTGCCGCTGTGTACAGCGCAGCCATTCTGGAGTACCTTACTGTGGAGGTACTTGAATTGGCAGGAAATGCATCAAAAGACCAGAAGGTAAAGCGTGTTACCCCTCGTCGCTTGCAACTTGCTATTCGTGGAGATGAAGACTTGGACTCTCTCATCAAGACTACGATTGCTGGTGGTGGTGTCATTCCACACATCCACAAATCTCTGGGAAGAAAGGACAACGGAAGACTGTCTAAAGGATGCCTGGATTCCTTATTATCTCAGGACTCCACATACTCTAACAGCTGTCCAGTGCTGGTGATTCCAGTGGACTGTATCTCTGTGAAAAACACAATTTTGCCTTTTTGTAATTCTGTTTGAGCAAGTTGGAAGTTTAATTAGTTTTCCAATCAACCAAATTTCTGCATTCTAGTCTTAACCATATTTAAGTGTTACTGTGGCTTCAAAGAAGCTATTGATTCTGAAGTAGTGGGTTTTGATTGAGATGACTGTTTTTAAAAAACTGTTTGGATTTTAATTGTGATGTAGAAGTTACAGTAACAAACATTGGGTTTTGTACTGACATTATTTCCACTCTGGTGGATAAGCTCAATAAAGGTCATATCCACCCCCAAAATAAAATAAAACAAAATAAATGTTTAAAAATTAAAAAATTAAGACCCTATGTAAAATGACTTAAGCTGTGTTAAATCTGCTACCAAAAAAAACAAAAGTACTGGCAGGTTCAAAACAAAAACCAACCGACTCCAGATTCTTTTTAAGGTGGCATGCCACCTTGTGACAAAAGGCCAAAAAGCCATCAAATGAGGAAGGAAAAACCACTGCAGGCAAAGCCACCAGGGAAAGAAGGACCCAGCTTTATTGATCACTTACTGTTTCCAGGCACCACGAGGCATTCCCTCATGTTAATTCTCAAACCACACTTACAGAGAGACAAACAGCCTCGGGGGTCACATAGCTAATAAATAGCAGTGGCAGAATTAGGGAAAAGCAAATCAACCTGAATTTATAGTCCCCCAAGAATCCCAGCTCCAACACCAGAAATCTCCAGTAACAATGCAACTGGAAATACTCTTCCTCCTCTCTCCATCCTCATCTTTTCTATTCTGCATGTCAGGCTGGCCACTGGCTTTTCCCAAGATCACAACATCCACACCTAAGTTTCCCTCTCCTTTTAATTCCCTGCATTCTATCTATTCTTCTAAAGTCACCAGAGCAGCAGTTTCCCCAAATTTTATTTCTCAACATGTTCCAGGAGATAAATTTCCAGGACTCAAGGATGGAAAACACCATAGAATTGACACTCCCTTCCTGAAAACATACAAGACATAGTGTATAAAAAGCTCTAAGAAAAAAACTTTACAGGAAAAAAAATGTTTTAATCTAGTCCAGCCAAGGGTCTCCCAAGGTTCTCTGACCAGCGCACACTTTTTCCTAAAGCAACACCAAGGTTCTAGGGCTGCTCGGGAAATGCTGACTGTGAGAAGAGCAGGACTTCGCCCTCAGGAAGAAAGGGCCTGAGCTGTGATTCCGATCCATGGGCAAGTCACTTCACCTCTCCAGATAAAAGCTCCTACATCCAATTGTGAGGATGGAATGAGACAATACACAGCACATAGAAAGTTCTCGATACAAGTTAGCAATCAGCATTGAGCAGAAAAATGACATGATGAAATAGGGCCCTCCAGTGGGAAGATTTAGCTGACGGCAGAGTATTAAATGAGGAAAGAAATGATGGACCATGATAGGAATGATGATGAAAAAATGCTATGCTAAAGGAAGATCAGGTCAATCAGAGTTCTTTATAAACTGCGGTCGAACTTCATTATTTGCAAGTTCACTTACTCGATAAAACATTTATCTGTAACTCCCAAGTCAATACTCGTGGCACGCCCTGGTCATTTTCGGATATGCTTTGAGTGGTAATTGAGGTCGCCTGTCCCACAGATCCCCAGCTGAGGTGGAACGAGATGAAGCTCTGCCTTCTTGTTTCAGCTCTCATGCTGTAATGTGTCCTTTCCACAGCCTATTTTGTGCCACCTTTTTCACATTTTTATGTCTTGTTACTGATTTCACTGTGTAAAATGACCCCCAAGACTGGAATGGGCCTTACGGAAAAAATGCATGAGTTAGAAGCTTCCTTGGGGCATATGTTATAGTGCTG